TCCAACATGGCCGCCACATCAAGAAAATGGCCGCCCACAGCGTTTTCGCGCTGATTCCTCGCTTACCGAGGCGGCAAAAAATGGTAGCCCTATGGAGGATTCCTGCTTAGCAGTGAGTTTACCCCCCATAGGAACGCATTAAATCGAGTTTAATGCGTTCCTATGGGGTTTTTCCTTCCGTATAGCGATGTTTCCGGATAGTGACGTTTTTCCTGGAACGGATTAACGTCGCTATGCGGGGCACCACTGTACTCCACTTGCTATTCATCTTGCTAATTGTTATAATTTAGCCATAATCATTTGCCATCAAAATACTAGCCTGATAGCTGTTGGCATCCAACCTGTAAGTAAGCGCTGCATGACTGAACTTTGTTTCAACTCCACAAAAGAAGATGAAGCTGTTCCTAAACAGAAAATAATGTATAAGTGGTTCATTTCAAATATAACAAAAGTACCAGTGAATTTTAATTTTAAAATACAATATGAATAAAATCTAACTAAAATAAACATCAGGCATGGTAGCATTTAATAGCGTGTTTAATTATTTTTTAATGTTATGACTTATGTTTTTAATTGTGACTATTGTGCTGATAATCTTCTGAAACTTCTAAAAGAAAATATACATTTTCTGCTATTTGAAACATTCATAGCAGATGCTCAAAACTACACAAAGAAATTCAAATGCTGGTCCAAATAGAAACAAATCAATATATTACAGGAGTGAAATTTAAAGGCAGCCTAACCTTTAATAATCCTTTAGTGGTTTAAAAGAAAACACTATAAATAACCCATCCACAAGTTGCAAACAAAGAAAAGAGAACATGAAAGAGATGGTGTTGTCATGTTGGAATTTATGTGTGCCAATCAGTGATTGTATTTAATTCACAATTCAGTATTCCCTCACCTAATTAATTTAGTAAGAACACACACGTACTCAACTTTTTTTGCAGCTACTGTATTATAAGTCTATCCTGTCTTATATATCACCCCAAATATTGAGCCTGCTGATTTTTACTCATTCACATTTCTACATTGCCTTTCCTCTAGCCAGGTCACAGTAAGGTATATGGTGCTCTCTCTCCCTCCCTACAGCAATCCTCATATGGGATAATCCTCGTTTCAATGTACAACTTGAGACTTCTAATGGAAGAAAGAAGCACATCAATTTGCATCCTTACCATGAAAATCATGAGGTGGTAAGTTAAGGATAAAAATTCCACCAGTTGCAGATGGTAGGGCAAAAAGTGCTCCTCCATCACTGGTAAGCCAAGCTGCCGATGCAGCAGAATATGAAGACAACCCAGGTATAGTGGGGATCACACAGTAGTTTAAGGGATCTCTAAAATGAACTTTTCCAATATCTGTGAAAACAGACTGTATGTGACTTTCTGTTATCAGCTCCTGTTGGAGAAAAGAAACCCAAGAAGTTCAATTAACAAGGAACTCAAAAGGAAAAAAAAAGTGAATAACATTATTTGCTTTTCAACATATGGCTAAGAAGTAGATGAAAAAATACAATGAAGAAGAACAGATAACTAGCATGGTGTAGTGGATAGAGTGATGGGCTAGGACTCAGGAGACCTGAGTTTCCATGGCTGAATCCCCATGCAGTCATGGAAACTCACAGGGAAGGGTGGAACTGGTAAACCTTAAATACCTCACTTACCTTGAAAGCCTTATTAGGATCACTGTAAGTCAGATATGACTTGACTGCACATAACGTAAGAATGAGAATATATACTCGTAAACGCAGGTTCCTAAGACTAATCAGGGGAACATAAGAAGCTGTCTTCTTTTAGCTCTGATTCTTTGTCCATCCAGTCCAGTCTTGTCTACTCTGGCAAGGGCTCTCTCAAGCACAAGTTTTTCGTATCATCTCCTACCAAGATGCTTGTAACGAAAGTTCTCAAAGACTGGACTAGATACTTACTTCATGCCAAATGTGTATTCTTGCACTAACCTATGGTCTTCTTCATCATTGCCACCTTTTATTAAAGTCTTAGGTTGCACTATCTGTATAATTTGCTCCTTACTGAAAGTATTCTGAACAAACCCCTCAACAGGAATTTGTATACATAAACAAAATTCAACACAAAACAGTTAAGAATCATCTTTAAACATACATGTAAAAATCCAAATGAGAAAAAAGAACAGAAATCATAGCTACAAAAATATTTCACAGCTCATTCCCAAAAGCTCTTGATTCTGATGATTTGCTCAATTATGGTATCACAGTAACATATACCATGTTTCCCCCAAAATAAGACAGGGTCTTATATTAATTTTTGCTCCAAAAATGCATTAGGGCTTATTTTCAGAGGATGTTTTGTTTTATTTTCATGTACAACAACCTACATTTATTCAAATACAGTTATGACATAGTCTTCTGGTTGCTGCACAGTGCTACACAATGGTGGAGGATGGGGTTTCACTTAACTGGGGTTTATTTTGGAGGTAAGGCTTATATGACAAGCATCCTGAAAAATCATACTGTACTAGGTTTTATTTTCAGGAAAACGGTACTGTAGTTAGCACCCTCCTCAAACTCAAAAGCAGAGTTCATGATCTGAAGTTAAATTGGGGGTACATGTTGTCCACAGTTTACTGATCCTTCACTGTGTTGTATTATGAATAGCACTAAATACGGTCAATACTACATGCAAGGGGAGCCCAAGAAGAGTCAAGCCTGTTTTTTGATCCTTCAAATCGCAGTATGGGGATCTGAGTATGTTAAAAGTCATATTCAGTTTTAAACAAAATGATCTTGCATCTTTATTTAATCGAATTCTTAAAAGAGTTAGCATAATTGCAGAGGTACTGAAACAGCTTACTTACACTTCTATACATCCGAGCTAGATGTGGTAACATCAGCCTGTGTACTGTCTGATTAGTTGAAATCAAGATAACAACATGATTCTGCGTTTCAAAGATATGTACTCCTCCAGGTAAGAGGCTACAGTTCTGAAATTTGAGCTGAACAGCATTATTCAAAATATTTATATCAAGGGATTCCTCCACCAGTTCTAAGGTCCCACCTGAAGTGGCCCTGTAAAAAGAAATACAGTAAGTCAATTCATATGGTAATTACAAATTCACAGACCACAATCGTATGTCTAAGATCATACATTGAAGAGATCTCAGCACAAAATAGCAAGTGTCAGGAAACAGATGTCTAGCATAGAGATTCTTGAAGGTTGCAAGAATGCAAACAGTGTGAGGATTAAATTCTTGCAAGGAGTTACGTAGGAGAGAATGGAAATCTGCACATCCAAGATGTACAAGCATGTGAGGAGATGTATTCCTGAAAAGCTTTCTACATCTCAGGTTACCCTCCCTGCTTTATATAGGAGAACAAATGCATCATCAAAAGATACAGGCACTCTGCTCTCCTCAGAGAACCAACAAGCTTGGCTCAGTATTGTACTGTGCTGCAATGTTTTTCATAAAAACAAAAACAAAGCAAAAACAAAACAAAACACTTGTACAGCCATTAGAAGTGTTAAACTTTCAAGGGTTTATACAGCAATTGCTCTCCTAGGAACAGCTAATTTCCTCCACCCATTCTTAGGGCAACTACATACAGTATATCATTTCATTCCACAAGTCAGCTGATTCAGAATTCAGTCCCCAAAAGGAACCCAACAGAAGCAAAACGGATTACAGCAAAAGCCAGGGACCGCTATTATGGGATCCGAGTGAGATCTGAAGTTGTTTGGAGATTCACCTTGCAGATGCAGTGGGCGAGTAATGAACGGAATAAAGGGAACAACGACAACAAAAACACAGCACTGTACAGATTATCTGGACAGCCGTGTAACCTGTTTGAATAACCATGTACAATCCCTTGAGACCCAAGAGGAATTGGTCCAGCCTTCTGTCCCTCCAAAAACAGACAGAATGACTGAAAAGAACGCTAGACAGCAGAAGAGCCCCAAGAGCAAGCAGAGATGAACCCGATTTTATTTCGTTTCTCGTCTCAAAACCCCAAAACTCTCTCCTCAACAAAACTGATATTGACACACACACACACACACACACACTGACAAGGTGCCTGGCCATTTTCTGGGACCACTCACCAATGAATGAACCGGTTTCTGGTCACCGAGCCCAGGCGCGCGTTCTCCTGGTACCAATAGCCACCGGCGCTGTCGGCGTACCGTGCGGCGGTGGGGGACGTGCCGCCACCTGCAAGTGGGAGGGATGGGTGGACAAGGGAAGGTGGGTCAGTGGCCATGCACGCTACGAACCAAACGGACGCCGGCTGCCGCAGCATCCCGAAGCGGCCCAGCAACCCAACCGGGACCCCGCTCTCCCCGCCCCGAAGGAGGAGGCACCTGGGAGGCTGAACACGAGCTCCCGAACCCTTCGTCGCGCGCCCCGCTCGGCCCCGCTCAGTTCCAAGTAGCCCCGCTCCGCCAGCCCTACGGACGCCGCCATCTTTCCTTCCCGCGCGCGGCGCCGCAATGGCTCACGGGAGAATAGGAAGGAGCGAGGCCTGGACTGAGCCGGCCTTCGCGGTGCATCATGGGAAACAAGGAGGCGGAGGAGGGCTGAAATGGGTCTTTTGGTAGCCTTCGGTCGTAAGGCTTGAAAGGAGCGGCCGCCGCGGTGGTTTTTGCGGCATGCGGGAAAGACAGGAGTAGCTGTCCTAACGACTAGTCATTCATTTTCTATCTAAAGCTCACCGCGAGTTCTTTGATTTAAGAAGGGGTACATCCAGCCGCTGCCCGTTAGTTTAATAAAGCAATATTAGTATCATTGAAATATGTTTTAGAACACAAAACTATAAAGCTAACTGTTAACGGCATCACCCGGTTGAAATTATTTACTGTAATATGATTTTTCGCAGATAGGCTTTCAAATAAACGTCATAAGTAAAATTGGTGTATGGATAAAAAGGAGAGGTGCATGTCCTTTGTCTTTAAGTTATGAGTGGAAGAGGATTTCTCTCCTTTATGAAAGACATGGAAAATATATCAGGTGATGCCAGCCATTTGGAATTTTTTTCTAGGAAGAAGATGGAAGCTTTGTTGCATCAGCAGAATGTGAGACAAACTGCTCCTGCATAAGTTACACTGATGCCACTGCACTGATAAACTACCAGTGAGGCAACTGAAATTGGATCAGAAATGTGGTAGAATGTGGGCTGAACAATAAGGGAACAGAGACTTGTACTGCTGCCTATTCCTTAGCCTCAGTATGACTTCAGAACAGTGAAACTTCAGCCAGAGGCCAAAGATGATGTAAGAAAAATTCCCTTTAAAGAATATATTTTATTACACTGGGATATAGCTGTTCCCAACGCCTATAATCTGATAAGCACAGGGTTTTTTTTTTTGAAAACTCTGGTTTATTTTTTCTGAGCAATGTGCTGGTGTGAACCAGCTAACCAGTTTCTCTGTAAGCAGGAATGGCTATCCAAACATAACACTTTTGTATTTGTTTATATCTGTGTTTTGGTTATATCTGTTGCTCTGAGAACTTCTCCCATAGGAGACTCATAAGCAGAGCTGAGTTGAGGAAATAAAAGGGGGAAAAGGATCAAGTGTGGTACAGCATGGCCAAAATCCTCTTGTTAGTAAACTAGTGGAAGTGAAATGGTATAACTTGCAGCCACAAATTTCTACTAATTATCAAGTCCCTGTTTGGATTCCTCATTGAATTCCAGTTAGGTGGTTTGGTATTTGATCAAGAATCCAAACAGGGACTTGTTAATTAGCATGAGAAAAACTATGTACATTCTTGAAGAACTAAGAAGGAAAATATCAAAGAGATTTAACCTCTCTGATAAATGTTGAGGCACCACAAAGTACCTTAAAAATTACAAGGATGAGCTTTTGTGGATTATCACTCTATTCATCAGATACATGGATTCAGAATTTCACATACTGTATACTGTATAGAGCATGCCAGATTGTGGATGGGATTATTGCCTATTGAGATCAGAGAGGAAAATCTAGTGAAGAAAGTACTAACAGTGACAACATTAGTAAACATTGCTAGTCTACCCAGATCACCCGCGCGAGTCAGGAGGTGAGGCTGAGGAGCCTGACGCTGAGAGAGGCCCGGAAGGAAAAGACACGAAACCGGGCCTTCTCAGCGGTGGCTCCTCGCCTCTGGAACAACCTCCCTTCAGAGATTCGTGCGGCCCCTATGCTGGGAATCTTTAAAACCCAATTAAAAACATGGTTGTACATCCAGGCCTTCCCTCCAGTCAATACCTGGTTCTATTCCTTCTTATTTTATTCTCACTCTATTTTATTGTAACTGTATCAAATGATTATGTAATGTTCTTGTGTTTTATTGTTTTATCCTATACTGGAAACCGCCTAGAGTGGTCAAGTAGACCAGATAGGCGGGGTATAAATAAATAAATAAATAAATGAACAAACAAACAAACAAATAAATAAATAAATAGTCTGAAAATTGTCACTGATGTAAGTAATCTTGGCACTAGAAAATCCAATTAACATAGGTTATATGATAGAAATACAGTTCTAACCTTTGGTGATACACTGGGACTGCCTCAATTAACTGCTAGTTGGTTGTATCTCTAATCTGTCTCGTGTCCCTTTGAGGTTTTCTCTCTTCTTCTCCACAGCATCTGCTTAAGGTCAGTGACAGAATGTCCTGGGAGGCTAGCGTGTTCTCCTGCTGTTTGCTGAATATTGCCACTTCTGATGACAGCTTTGTGTCCATGTATTCCTCACCCGTTTGACCTGTGTAGAGTGCTGAAGAGTACTGCTGACAGAAGGAGTGATCAAGTGGATGTATCCCTGCTGTTGTGGGTGTCATTGTTCAGTTCTTCAATGATGTTGTCACAGTAGATAGGAGGATAAAGTTGCTATTTAGGTTTATCTAGCTTCCTGTACTTGTATCTTTGCCATGTGTATTCTTGTTGTCACTAATGAATATTTGAAGTTTGCTTACCACTTAAGAATGGTGAAAAGGAATGGAATTTCATGATGGATGATGTTTTTATGGGCTTTGCAATTGTTTATTTATTTGCATATATTTTGAGTATGGGAGAGGAAATGGATACACAGTCAGATGCTGAACTATGGCCTCATACTGCTGGTAGACTTCTTGTTATGGGACACACATACATCCCAATTATCTAAGCTAAGAAAACCTCTCCTAACTACTTGTCATAACAATAGTATTCCCATTAAACCATGTTCAAAGCTTGAAAGGACTACAGTATTAATTTAGCACTTTCCTCGTAAAGGTAAAGGTTCCCCTTGACAGTATTTATCCACTCATGTTCGACTCTAGGGGGCGGTGCTCATCCCCGTTTCCAAGCCATAGAGCCACCGTTTGTCTGAAGACAATCTTCCATGGTCACATGACCAGTGCGACTTAGACATGGAACACTGTTACCTTCCCATTGAGGTGGTCCCTGTTTATCTACTCACATTTGCATGCTTTCGAACTGCTAGGTTGGCGGGAGCTAGGACAAGCGACGGGCGCTCACTCCGTGAATTCAATCTTACAGCTGAAGATCTACAGATCTTACAGCACAGAGGCTTCTGCGGTTTAACCCGCAGTGCCACCACGTCCCTACTTCCTCTTAAAAGGTTAGACACAAATGCTTTAAAACTCTTCTAGCTATTGCAGACCACACATTAGAATTTATTTCTATGTTCTCTCATTGGATTTTAGTAAAGTGCCCATTCCCAACTTCAAAGTTCACCTCTCAAATGGTCAATTATGGTGTAACATCAGTCACATGGATATATGAGGAAGTTAAACTTGTGTCTCCCAGTACAATTCTCAGATATAATTGAGACATAGTACTTTCAATAAATAGTGTTTCTGTTCCCATGTTACCTGACAAATATGTTCTCTCATGGCACAGATTCTAGCTACCCTATTTCTGAGTATTAAAATATTCTTGTTTCTTTCTGTAGAGGGCACCAGTTAGTTTTAATATTCTTGTACAGTATCTCTGCTCATGAGCTTCTCTTATCCTATGTTTACTAAGAGAAGGATATGTTTTCACAAGTTGTTCCTACATCTTATGTTTTGTTGTTGTTTAGTTAAGTCATGTCAGACTCTTCATGACCCCATGGACCAGAGCACTCCAGGTCCTCCTATCTTCCACTACCTCCCAGATTTAGGTCAAATTCATGTTGGTAGCTTCGATGAGACTGTCCATCCATCCATCTCATCCTCTGTCGTCCCCTTCTCCTCTTGCCCTCACACTTTCCCAACATCAGGGTCTTTTCTAAGGAGACTTCTCTTCTCATGAGATGGCCAAATGAAATGTAACATCTGATGTTACATTAAAACAATTTATGAAAATATCAGTACCTGGAAATGAGGGCTTGTGTTTAGCAAGAAGAATGCATCTTCCCACATTCACACCTGTGACAAATAGAGAGCACTCCCGCTATTTTCTTATAAAAAAAAATGGCCCTTTTTGTAATGCAACATTGTCACAATCATTCTCTGCTTAGAGTTTGCCAAGATATTTAGGCCAGAAAGTACTGCTTCCCCGAAATTAAGACCTAACCTGAAAATAAGCCCTAGTATGATTTTTCATGATGCTCATAATATAAGCCCTACCCAAAAATACAGTAAGCCCTAATTAAGTGAAACCCCATCCTCCACCAGGGACTTATTGTGCAGCAAAAAGGATTGACTCCATTTTGTCCACACGGGCCAGTGGAATCCATACTTCCCCCTCCCCTTCCCACCTCAACAAGCAAGTGTGTTCCCGAAACAAGACAGAAACCATCCAGTCCTGTGGCGGAAGGGGCTTGAGGCCAGTTTGTGTTGGGGCCTTTAACGCCAACATCACCACTGCCGCCACCACTCCCCCGTCCCTGGGGGGAGTCACAAGAAATTCAGGCTGGAATTTGAGGTTTGGAGAGTATTGACAATGTTCCAGAAGAAGATGACATGACTGTATTTGAATAAATGTGATTGTTTTAGATGAAAAAATAAAACATCCCCTGAAAATAAGCCCTAATGTATTTTTGGAGCAAAAATTAATATAAAACCCGGTTGTCTTTTCAGGAAAACACGGTAGCTGGAGTAGCATGTCGAGTAACACTTGGATAGCTGAAATAACACTTCCCCCATCTCATTGGGTCTCACCACAAAAAAAGCAACTCTATTTTCCTTATTTCAAATCCCATAGCATTTTTCCTCTTTTTGTATTCTTTCTCTTCCAGTAGAACAACATTCTATTAATTCATTTTGATTATAATGTAATTTGCTTTTTAAAAAAAATCAGTTGCTTCAGTCCTTCAGCACATATAATATTAATATGTGTTAATATTATAAAACCTCTTGCAGGCAAGCTTTGGGTCCTTCCCCAGCTTTCCTGTTAATGCTTTTTCCCTTCCAGGCCAAAATGGGAGCTATTTCATACTGAAATGTTGGGTTTCTGTTTACTGTATAACAGAATAGTCCACAACTAGGCTGATATTTTTTCTGTTCTAAACATGATCTGCTATACAGAATGATGTATCCTGCTATGTGAAGCAGAGAGGCAAATGACGGATCTCACTCACACAAGTCAAGATGAGTAATG